AGAGACAGAGAGAGAGGAGGAGGAGGGATGAGAGGGGAAGAGGAGAAGGAGGGGGAGGGGGAGGAGAGGGAGGGAGGGAAGGAAGGAAGGAAGGAAGGAAGGAAGGAAGGAAGGAAGGAAGGGAAAACTGTTGGTGCTCATCTTTTCTCTCCCTGCTACATTGAGTCCCTCCCTGTGTTCAGCCTCTTGAATTATATGCAGCTTTGGAGGTCTTAAACCTTTCATCTCTTCAGTTTCTTTCTCCTTTCCCTAAGATTCAGTGCTAACAGAAGCCTAACTTGGGTGCATTCTAACGACTGCCAGTGGCTGTGTCTCATTTTCACTTATTTTGGCACATCAGTAACTCCACTGGCACGGCTAACACATTTGAAAATTCCTATAGTATTTTGTCATGAAGCCATAGATTCAATGAGTAGAAAGTAAAGAAAGCCCCTTTCCACATAGTTGTTTTGAGTTTGATCATTATTTAATCTCTAAGTCAGGTGTAAATAAAAAAAGCAAATGGCTTTCTATCTGGGGGATATGTTTGGTACCAGGGAAGCAATAGGAAGAGCGGGTCTCTGAAACTTTTCTTGTGAGAGTCAAACTAATTCTTCCAACCACCAGACAACTTGATACCATTTCATTATTAGCAGGACAAAATAAATAAATAAATAAATAAATAAATAAATAAATAAATAAATAAATAACTTGTAAGGGAGAAATTCCATTCTCCCAGTGCTTCCTCACTCCTACCCAAACTTGCACTGCAGTGTTGTGTGAACACTAGCCTTATCTCAAAATGCACTGACTGGATTTATGTGCTCCATGCTCCCAAGCTTTTCCCATACTGTGCGGTTGACACCTAATCCACCTGAGCATATTGCTTTAAAGTGCTTGCAAATAATACTGATGCTTTTTGCCTTTTCTGCCACATTGCAAAACAGAGCTGTTCTTATTAACTGGATAATTTATATCTCTTCTTATTTTTTCTCAAGCTGAGCTTGGAAATCAGTACTTAAATGCTTCACAGACACACAGACAAAGCACACCAGAAGCCTCTTCTTCATGCCCTTCTTCTGTGATTCCTCCCCACCAGCCCACTCTCTCACCAGGCAGTGACTCCAGCCCAGCATCGCTCTCTGATGATCTGGGGTCTTCCTGCCTGCCTTCGACCCACGGCTTCTCAGGTTGTTTACATAAACATCCTCTCCTAGATCTCAACAGCCTATGTACAGCCATGCCACAGGCTTTCTCAGGACAGACTCCTCCCTTGGCAAGCACTCCTCCCGATCTGAGAGTGAGTCCTCCACAGCCATTCTGGCTGAACTGCAGCTGGGTAACTGACACCACTGACTGCTCTGAGACACCTTCCCCCACCTGGGGTCAGAGATCTGCAGTGACAGATGGTACCCACCTTAGCAACCCCTGCTGCCACTCATGTAATTATCTTCCTTCCTTTGCCGCCACCATTTTTTTTTAAAGGACTACTATTTGTTTGCCATCTGGTTTTGCAGCTGAGCATTTTTATTTGCATAGGTGTTGATTAGTAAACTGACTATGCCATCTGGCAGGGAAATCCATTGCAGTCATCCTCATTAAGCCCATGTTGTACTAAAACTTTTACTGATACTCTCTTTTTGCACTTTGGAGTTACATATGGTAGTAACTCTAAAGTGTTCTGCTTATGATTTACCATGCTTCTGTAACTAACAAGTAGTACAGTGATTTACTTCAATAAGACATTGTCTCAGAAGTGTCAGTAAGTATACAGCATAATACAGCTATGATTAAATTATAAAGTCCAAAATGTTTCAAAAATTGTAACCCATTATTAATACCTGGAATATAGCAGTTTCCTCTAAGACTCACATCGGTGCATCCTGTGTTAATAGGATTCTTTCTCCCGTAAGTGATTCTGACTTCATGACACCAATTCTTGTCACTATTCTTTTTTTAATATTTTTTATTATTTTTATTTTATGTGTATGAGTGTATTGCCTGCATGTATGTGAGTGCATCTGTGTTGTGCAATGCCACGGAGGTCAGAAGAGGGCTTCAGATTCCCCTGGAACTGGAGTTAAGGCCAGTTTGTAGTCTCCATGTGGGTGCTGGGAATCAAACCCAGGTCCTCTGCAAGAGCAGTCAGTGCTCTTAACCACTGAGCCATCTCTCCGGGCCCTTTCCTCACTATTCTTTTAATAACAGCCACCTCTGATGAACTCTTTTGTCATATAGGAGTGAATAATATAAATAATTTTGATGTAGCTTGGGTTTTAAAGTTTTTTTTCTTGAGGCATTCTAGAATACATGTTTTTATTTTATATGCCAAGAATTTACCTTTTGTTTATATAATATTTATTTCAACACATATATCATTAAACTACTGTACTTTCAGTAATCATTAATCAATGGTTAATAAATGGCTAAAATGTTTCAAATTTTGATTGTGCAGGTTCTCAATCACTTATAAATGTAGTGACTTCCATTGAAAAACACATAATTTGGGGCAAAAAAATGGAGATTGTTTTCTAAAATTATTATAACAAATTCTCAAATGTGCTGTCATAGAGAAAATGTATTTGTGCTACATAGTTTCTGTACACTGTCAGATTCATAAATCTTCAACTTCAGAGAAGGAGCCTTGTCAACTACAGAAATAAAAAAAATATCATTTAGTTTTATTTTTGGATGATTTAGTGTGCATCCAATGGCTAGGTATAAAGCTTTTTCTGGAAATAACCCCACCAAATCCCCTGCCCCTTGCCACAGGGGATCAGCCACTGGTACCTAGTAGTAAGCAGGTGTGACTCCCTTCTGTGCTCTACTGTGTTTTAAATGTTTCTTACCTTTTAGCGACTTTAAGGAATTTATCAGAGCCTTCAAGAACAACAACAACAACAACAAAAATGAAACAGTGAAGGAACATCAGTTTCTGTACCAGCGTTTTAAATTTTCCATTTTTAAGACTCATTTAGATCCTTGGTCATGCACAAGGTCTTGTGTACACCATCAGAGGTACCTGTAACTGAAACTAATTCCAGTTACCAGCTTCCTGAACATAGATTCTCCTTAAGATCCTTATCTCAATAATTAACTCTCTGTGTGACAAAGTAGTTTTCTAAAATGTTAGCAGTAATTTTTAGTTAGTAAAATTTTGATTGGCTTAACATGATAAAAGAGTAAATCTACTTTCGGTGTTTATTTTTTAATCTTTATTTGCTGCTGTAGAAACTCTCAAAATAAGATTCTCAGTCAGTTTCTTAAGTTTAGTAACACCCAACCTGTGTGTTGTTAATCCAAATATCCAAATTCTAAAATTTTTCAGATTTGGAAACTTTTTGAACACTGACATGATATTATAAGTTAAACCTGATTTCCTGTGACAAGTTGCAATAAAAAACAAATAAGCAAACAAACTCAAGTGTACTGAAATAAAATCATTTGGGGGCTCTATGTATAAAATACATATGAAACATAAATTAATTTCATGCTTAGCCTTGGGTTCCATCCCCAAGATATTTATAAGTATCCTAAGTTCAAAAACATATGAAGCCTGAAATACTTCTGGTCCTAACCATTTTATGAACGGGATACTCAATCTCTAGTAGTAACCTGATAGTTTTTAATAAAAATGACTCTCCTGCCTTTGAGATTCATGATCATAACAGGTTTTAACAATAAAATTAAGATTATACTTTCAAATAATCATCAAAGATGATTTTTGACAAAGAAGCAAAAAATATTTGTAGATCATTCAGCAGAGATGCATGGAGACTCTGAAGTATTGATTGCTCCTGGGGCTCACAGTTGTTGGTGAGGGGACCTTCTATGCTAGAGTAGAAGGCACTCAACCTATGGTTGGTTATAATAGAATAATTTTTCTAATAACCTGAAAAGTATTTAATACATATAATCTTTATCATCAAATGCTTACTGACTTTAGGACATACATGGTATAGCTATCAAGTAAATTAGATTTTTTCTAGATCATTTGAAAATATACCTATCCTAAATTGAAGTTATAGAAATATACAGTCGCTCGTCTGCCTGCATTTCACACCTGTATAATGCAAGTGTATCTGTTTTAAAATAAGTAGAAAAAGTTCACAATTTATGAGTCTTTCTGCCTATGCATGTGTGTGTTTGTGTGCACTTAGCTGTAATGTGATTTTAACTAAATATTCTTACTAATGTTTCATCTCATTTGCATGCATTTTTCAACCTCCATAATGCTCAGTGGTGGTGTGCTGTGCAAAGATAATCCTGAACTCAACTTCCATGAACTGAGCTGATTCAATTCAGTTGCAATAGGTATCTACTGAATATGTAGACTATGCTGCATGTTATAAAAAATACAAATGAAGCAGATGCAGAATTATCCTTAACAAGAAACTTGAGATACCATTAGAGATAGAAAATACTCAACTATAAAACAAATAGCTCAAGAGATGTTGAAATAGAAGACAGTGTTGCAACATGTCTGCAATGTTTTACCAGGTATGGATACTGGAATAGTCACTTCTTATAAATCCAAACACTTGTGTTCCTGAGTTAGTCACCTTGTTTTGGAAACACTGGTTCGTTAGGGTGTGTGTGAACAAGCCCTCCCTTCCATTCACTTCAAATCTTGCATGCAGAGCAATAGAATTTGAGAGAATTTTTACTACTTAAGCCCAAACTGTGAGAGCACCTTTGCCCTCCACATTTCTAGCAGTGACTTCTGTTGATAGCATCAGCACCTCTGTTGGCAGAGTGGTGTGCCCACTGACCAGCTGCTCTCATTTTTCCTAACCACCTCTTGTACCTTCTGCTATGTAAGAAAGTGATTTTCAGAGATAAACGAATGACATGCAAAATACTGAAAACATGTATTTCACCCTCTGACATCAGTTTTCAGAACAAATAAAAACCTGGCAGTTGATTACTATCATGTGATTGGAAATCTTTTGTTGTCACTTAAAGGAGTGATGTTTATAGGGAACCATGTGCTATAACAGGATCCTTTGCACTTTTCTCAGAGCCAGATCACAGTGAACGGCAACTCTGGTGGGGCTGTGAGTCCAATGAGTTACTATCAAAGGCCATTTTCCCCTTCAGCATACTCTCTTCCAGCTTCACTCAACTCCAGCATTATCATGCAGCATGGCAGATCCCTTGGTAAGTAATTTGATCACAATGATTTCCATGATGACTTTAATACAACTACAAAGGGCAAGAGAACAATACAAGGCATCAAAATGATGTGGGAGTGATCTACATTTCTCTTTCTGGTGACCTTGACTCAAAGAGGAGTTGGAACCGAGGATTCAACTTTGGAAAAAATAGGTCCTTCCTATTCAGAGATGATGACTCCTTCTATAGCTGAGCCTAGAGAAGGCTAGTTGATATTTGAGTGATGTGGTGAAGAGGAAAGAGAGAAGAGTTAAGGTGACCCAGAGAACATTAATGCAGTTCTGTCCCATTGAAGCAGCTTGTTGCTGTGTGAAAGAACTTTCATTCTTTGGCTGTATCTAAAAAAGAATTATTTGACCATCAAAACAGTGTAACAAAAGGAGAGGCTCCTTGAAAAGTGGTAGAGCCGTGAAATCCTGGCCCACACAGTCCTAAACTATTCAAAGTAGGGTTTGAAGGTTATTTGTCAGGACTGGGGTAGTGGAAAGGAAACAAGAGATGCTTAAGATCTCCCTTAAGTGAGGATTCCACAACTCAAAGAAATAATTCTCAACCCTTTGGCAATTAAGAATTAGACAAAAGATATAATGATGAACATATGAAAATTCATTAAAAAAATTGTTTGGTCTTTTTGAGACAGGGTTTCCCTGTAGCCCCAGCTGTCCTGGAACTCACTATGTAGACCAGGCTGGCCTTGAATTCACAGAGATCCGCCTTCCTCTGCCTCTCGAGTCCTGGGATTAAAGGTGTCACCCGGCTAAAATTTTAAGCATATAGTTTTGTGTATCTCATGAACTCTTTAGAGCCTTCTGGAAAAGTGTTGTGCTACTTTAGAAAGATAGAAATATTCTAATGTAGCAAAATAAATTAGCATAGTTTAAAAATAATAGAATAAGTATTTCTCAGTTTCTAAAAATTCAGTTTAACAACTCCAAATATTTTTATGAAAAAACTTACCAAATTGAGCCATTGTATGAATTCAGCTTGAAAAATTTCCATAATGTTTAGAAACTAGTGAGTTTCCAAGGAAACCAAAAGCAGAAAGGAGACTAAGGAGAGTGTGACCACACACACTTCTCAGAAAAAAAGGACTAAGGTGTCCTCAGGCTACCACAGATCAGCAACAGAGAGAAAAGGCTAGAACATAGAATTGTGCCGTTTCTTGGTTGGCAGCAGATCCCTTTCACCTTCCCAATGACAACTCTGCATTAAAAGACTATGATGCCATGTTTACTAATGAACTGTGTGACAAACTCCAACAAACATACTCATGGTAGAATTCAGCCCTGGTGGTCAACAAAACTGCTCTAAGACTTTAGATGCAGTCATGGCACTTATTAGAGAAAAGTCTCAATTTTGTGCCTTCTCTAACGCTCCTGGAAACCATCTGTGATCTTACAATGATCTCCTTTCAGCAGGTAAGGGAGAAAAACTGGGGCCAAATTTTTCTCTTTGACAGTCTATGGTTTGGCATTATAACAAGATTCCACTATCTTAGGATTTTTATAATCCCAAGATTTTGTGATTTTGCATTATCACATACAAAAAATGAGACTTCATAAATTATTTTAACCATAACATTTCCCCAGATAATTATTATCTAAGTGTGGCTTTTTGTCCCTTTGCCTGTCTTAGTGAATGCAGGCTTTTTCCACTCTATCAAAAACTATGTAATACCTCAGGTATAGATAGGCTTTGGTTTTAGACCAGATCAGTGAGTAGATTTTACACCTAAACTATATAACATAGAAAGAAATTCCCTGTATAAACTTTGAATAAAATCCAATTGACCAAGGCAGCGACAGGATTAGAATTTACAAGTCTACTCTGCCCTAGATGAACTTTACATTTAGTTGAAGTCAAAAGCTTGCAAAGTTAGCAATCCAGGGCCCATATAAGAGAGTAATAAAAAGGGCTAGCTTTCATCATATCAACTGTGGGTTTACAGCATTTTGTGAATCATGTGTGAAGACAGACTTGATACTCTTAGTCTAGGGCTGTACACACACATTGGCTGCTAGCAAAAATCCTGGAATTATGGTTATCCAATCAAGCCCTTTGAGAAAATTAATATAAAGTCAGTACAGGTGAAATAACACATTGTGTCTTCATTTCAAATAGCTTGGAAAGATGATCTTTTAAATATTTTACTTATTATTTTTATTTTATGTGTATGAGTATAGTATTGCCTGCCTGTGTGTAAGGGCACATGTGTTGTGCAATGCCCATGGAGGTCAGAGGAGGGTGTCGGATTCCCCTGGAGTTACAGACAGTTGTTAGCCACCATGTGGGTGCTGGGAATTGAGCCCAGGTCCTCTGCAAGAGCAGTCAGTCCTCTTAACCTCTGAGCCATCTCTCCATCCCCAAGATGATGTTTTTATAACCACTGGTACATAAAGCAGTTTCATTCTATCCTCATCCAGTCTTCTCAAAAACACCTTTAAATGCTTTTCTGCTGGAAATTAAATTGAAAATAGCTATAATCACAGTGATAGGAATTATGATGTTATGCTTGCTGTCATCATAGAGGCAGCGTAGAGAGATGTTAACTCTCAATACCATGTGAAAACCAGTCAAATTTCTTTAAATGTTTACTTATGTTTTACAAAAATTGTTCATGAGAAATGCATTAATATATGATTTATAAATATGTGTTATATTATATTTGATACAAATAAGAATAATAAATCATATGTGTATATGTATAACACAAACACACCTGAATACAATCAATAAATCCTATCTTGAAATATAAAAACCTTTCAGCCGCCACATAAACTGGCTTTCTAAGGGACAGCCCTGCAGAAGTAGGTCATATATAGCCTAAAAAAGTGTCACTCTTGGACACAAAATTTTGAAAATACAATCAGGAAGTCATGTTACTACTTTACTGCACAAATGGAGATAATGTTGATTCTGAAAACTATATTTTAAACGCAAAATAAATGGAATATGTAGTGTACATGTATGCTCTTTGGTACTTCTGAAAGTATAATAGAAGTTAGTACAATATTGATCTGCTACTCAATAAGCGCCTCAGATATAAGCTGAATGTGAGCAAAGGCCTAGTGATGGAAATAAGGAACTTTTTTCTAAGTTTTATTTATTTTTAATAAAATGTGTATGTGCATGTGAGTGGGTGTATAGACATGAGTGCAGGTACCTGCAGAGGCCAGAAGAGGGTGTCAGATGCCTGCCAGAGTTATATGTAGTTCTTATCCATGGAATTATACATGGTTTCTGGGACTCAAACCTGGGTCCTCTGCAAGAGGACTTAGGGCTCTTAACCACTCTCCAGCCCCCAGAAATATGAATTCTATTAGAGTTGGCATCAGTGTACAGATGCACCATTAATTTATGAGTCTGTGCATTCAACATGTTCCATGTCAACATATTTTCTGCACAGATTCCACAGAGACATATTCCCAGCATGCTCAGTCTCTGGATGGCACTATGGGCAGCTCAATCCCACTGTATAGATCCTCAGAGGAGGAGAAGAGGGTGACAGTCATCAAAGCCCCGCATTACCCTGGGATTGGGCCTGTGGATGAATCTGGAATCCCCACAGCCATTAGAACCGTAAGTCATGCCAGCATGTGTGTCTGTCTGGGTCTGTGCAAGCAGTTCACAAAGGATGGATTGTGCATAGCTCTGTGCATTCCTAGGGTCTTATATAATGAGGGTTGCCCTCTGAGCCATCTGAGCTCCCTGAATGTCAGCCTGTGTGGCAGAGACAGGATTGTTGAGTGAAGACAACTACACAATCCATTTTCCATTTGAATTCAAAATCTTAAAATTTGTGATTTTTGTCAAATAACACTTTGTGTTAACTTGTTATCAAGGAGAGGTAGAACCCAGAGGGAAAAGAGAAGGGGAAAAGTTTAATTCCTTCGCAGCATCAAATTCCCAAGTGTAACTGCAAAAAAAATCAGTGATTTGTTTCTTGCAATGGATGTGTGTTAACACCAGGAGATTGAGAGCTGTGAATTGGGACTTGGAAGGTGAGAGGACTGGGGTGAAGGGACTTACTATCAGGGCAGGGGGAAAGTGTCTGAAGAAAAGGAAGGTTTTTTTTTTTTATGTCCCTCTTAGCTGAGCCCGCAGAGAACTCTCTCGGGATAAGTGAAAGTGTTGAGATTTTTTTTCAGTCTTTAAACTCTGCCAAAGCATTGCTCAGTGCTTCGGGGCAGCCCCTTCTGGCAAAGCTCAGTAGCAGCAGTGCCTAAGTGGGCAGCTGTGTGCTGACCATATCCACTGGAGGAGACGGTCCGTGGTAGCTGAGGAGGAAGACTGGGCAGCCAGGATGAGAGCCACAACATCTTTGCAGGTGAAATTGCGGGGTGGTGTGAGGAGGGAGCTCAGCTGCATATACTTTGCCTGAGTACCCACATAAAGGGCTGGGGTGTTGCCAAGAGCAGCTTCCCTGGAATGCAAACAGCCAGAGATAATAAGGGACAGAGGAAAAGGAGGAGAAGGACATCAGGACAGAAGCAGTGCTGAGCCTGGAAACGTTAAGAAGAATGAAAGGTGAAGCCTAGAGTTTCCTTCTCTTTAGGAGTTTGCATTTATCATATGAGGCTTTCACATTTTGTATACAAAGACAAGAGCTAAAAATTGATTATTCTCAGCATCTGTATTATAGTTGAAACCAAAAGAGTAAATCAATATAGTATGTGCTGGGGATTTAGACTTATTAGACTGTGAGAATGTTGAATGCAACTAATTCAAAGCCCTAAAACTCTGTGTTGGAATAATGACAGTCATATTTAGTGACAGAAAAATGTCAAGGCTTGTGAGTAATATGGTCCGTTTTATGACAGTGGCGTGGTTGTGGAGACAGTGTTTTGATATTGGTTTCCCTTTCAGAATTTCTGACTCAAAATGACTAAATTTGACCCCCCCTCATAATCTAGGGATAATGAGTCAGGCAGGAATGATGCAGTGGATTTTGCCTATTAACCCTTGAGGCTCATGTACACACAAACCAAGAAATCTTCACTTTCTGTGCAGTGACAGATCCTGTCCAAAAAAATTCTATCTGAAATCTCTGGGTGTATTTTTAACTTAATAAATGATACAAAAAATGGACATGTTAATGTGATCCATTCTTTTTACTCTATAGATATAATTTTTATTGGTAAATCTTTGCTTTGTTAGTTTTTAAAAGAAAGTCCTGAGATGTTAGAGATGGTTCATAAAACGCAAGTTAAAATTTTTAGATTATCCACTGCCAAATTAAAAGCATGCTTAGATAAGCAACCACATATGCTAAGCATGTGATATTGATTTCCCTTATATGAAATTGGAAATAAATTCCTTATAAGGAACCCTGATTTTTATGTGCAACTGTGTTCTTACTCAGACCTTTAAAACCTTACAAAGGCAATGGGATCCAGGAGGCTCACATTTACTATTTTGTAGCCTTATAGATCATAGCCCCAAGTATAGCTCTGTGTTTATAAATGTTGAGTCAGACCTCTGGGCCACAGCAGGCCAAGAATCTCCAAGGTTATTTTCTTTCCTTGTTCATGTAGAAAGTAAAAACTATCAGACCCAAGTTGCCCCAGCTTCCTGTTCAGTGTATACCAAAGGCAGCCTGTCCCAGTGAACCATGTCAGGGCATCCTCTCAGATAAAAAGCATAGCCATAGCAACAGATATTGAAAAGTAGTCCAGAAACTACAGAAAGCAAGGAATGGGGGAAAGCCAGTGCTTTTCAGTTCTTGGAAGGAAGGGAGGCAGCTCTTGAAGACTGCCTGTCTCCTGTGACTTGGATGTCTATGTCAGCCTTTTACTGCCATTCTTAAAAACAGCAACAAAAATCTCTAGGGCTCAGAGCCCATGAGACTGTGTAACAAACCCAGCTAGTTAAGTGACATGCAAGATTCCTTTCTTCTAAATCGAATATAAATATAACTCTTATTTGGCCAGACCATATTTAGAGCTAGCAAAGGGCAAAAGTGGAATAAGATTATTATATTCTGATAGGTAGAAAATATGTCGGATTTCCTTTCAGAAATCTTAGCATGTGAAATCAATATTGAGCCCTGATGTTTCATAAACTATAGGAATATGAAAACTGAAGCCTACTGAGACAAGGCCATAGACAGCAGTCACACGATGAAGTCCTAGGAGTTATAGTCCATGCTAAATGATTTTGTAGGATACAATTGAAAGTAAATTTCTTGAAGTATGGACTTCTGATTTCATAATCTCAATGTCACACATTGTAAGTTCCAGGGTGGCACTGATGAAAGGGACTTGAATGCTCACAGCACTTCTGTTAGAAAGGAACATTGAGCTTTCACATCCCTGATTTACCAGCTTCAGGTGCTCTTTGCCAGCTGACTGGGCATTTCCTGGCATCTCCGTGCTCGCCATATAAAGCTAGCAGATGGCATAACAGTGAGATCCTGCCTGATAGAGCCCTCCAGCAAGTGCAGACAACAGCCCTGTCTGTCATGATGCATTGCCATATACAGCAATGTAACTTACTCAGCCTTCCTTGTCTCCATTTGTTGGGTCTAGGTAGAGTGAAAAACCTTTTTGTATACAGTTGTGTCATATTTTACTGTTGTTGTTGTTCTAATATTGTAAAAGAAAGTAGGCTTAATGAAAGAGAACCCTGTCTTTTAGGAAATTAAATATTCCTTCAAGATATGTTCAAGTACTTCATGTGTGTGTCCATGCACATATGTGTGCCATTGCATGTGTACACATGTGGGTGTACAGAGAGATGCTGGAGGTCTAAATCGGGTGTCTTCTTCACCTGTTCTTCAGCTTGTTTTGTGAGACGGGCTCTCTCACTGAACCTGAAGTCTCCACCTCCCCCGTGCTGGGATTGTAGTCGCCAGTACCATGCCTGGCTTTTTACATGAGTGCTGGAGTTCTGAACTCAGGTCCCCATGCTTACACAGCAAGCACTTTACTCACTGGTCATCTCCTCAGACCCCATATTCAGGTATTTTGTTTGAACCAGAAATCAATAGATTTCCCCTTCTTTGCTGGATTCCCCAACTAACTCCCATCACTTGACCATATATTCAGTCAATAACCCCCCCAAGCTTCCATTCATAGGAGTAGTTGACAATACATATGTGATTCCATGACAGAGTCAATGTTAATCTATATTTGTAGTAACTGCCAGAATCCTCTGTTCTATTTCAGAAGTCAAAATAAATTTAACTATAGCATAGCATGGGCAATCTCCAGTTGAAAAATACAGTGACCACATATACAAAGAAAAATATGAATATAAAATATAAGTAAATTTTGGATTTCGCAAGTTCAAGAATATTTTGTAGAAGTCCTAACAATGTTTAAAACAAGAGAATGGTCTTAAAAGATCTGTCGCTTCTAGTTAACTACACAGAGTGGTCAAGCTCCTTGCCTAAATAGCTTTGAAAAGATTGGAAAAAAGATCTTGCTGAGCAAATTGTTGCATTACAATTATAAATGTGGATGTAGCTTTCATGAACTAAAAGGCAGAGTTATATCCAGCAAACTATGTTCATTCAGTATTTCATTCCAGAGATATTTCCATTTCCCTCCTGCTTCTGTTGAGATTTGTTATATTTTAAGGACTATTCTAGACCCATTAGTACACATTATTTCATTCAGTTTCCATCATAATGCTATGATGTAGACATTATTATTTCATTTAGACAGGAGAAAACCAGGCTTCAAAGGTTACCTAGGGCTGGGGAGATGGTTGGTTCCATGGCTAAAATCCTTGCTGTATCAGCATGAGCACCTCAGGTTGGATCCTCAGTACTTACGTAAAGAGCTCTGAGCATACGCATCTGAAAACTGAGCACTGGCAGAAAGGGAGACAGGAAGATTGCTGGGAGAACTGGACCAAAACCAGCAAGATCTAGGTTCAGTGAGAGACCCTGATTCAAGAGAATAAGGCAGAGTGACAGAGGAGGACACCCGACACTTTTCTCTGGCTCCTACATGCACACACGGGCACATGCACCTATACATACATGGATACCTTACACAGAGAGGGAAAAAAAGAAAAGAGAAAGGTTACATAACCTGCCCAAATTCATATTTCTATAATGTACCGACTAGTAACTAAAGCACCAAGATTTGAATCTGGCACGTGATTAAACGTTAGTTTCATATTTCCGCTACAGCCTGCTGTCCTCTCAAATCCGAACACTGGCAGGCATAAGGAACTTCTACTATCACAGAATTTACAGTTTAGCAAGGCAAAACTTAGCAAGGCTTTCTAATATCTCATTAATGACATTTTGAAAGCATATCTACATTTTTAGATCTGCTCTACGGCTTTGCACTGTCTGCCTCACTCAGTATTTTAGTGAAAGACTAATGAATGCTAATTTTCTCTTTATTGAAGCTGATCAGAATATCTCTTGAGTAAAAAGTATTCCCCAGTTAATTTTTAATGCCGTGACAAGAATATTCAATATTAAGTTCTTAAGAATAATGAAAAGGGCTGGGGAAATGGCCATCAGTAAAATGCTTGCTGTGCAAGCAAGAGGACCTGTGTTCCATTCCCAGTAACCACATAAAAAGCCAGGCATGGTGGGACACCCTGTGATGGCTGGATGCTGAAATCAGGAGAAATTATGGAGCTCTCTGGCCAGCTAGCCTAGCCTAATCAGTAAGGCACAGGTCCCAGTGAAAGACTCTGTCAAAAAGAAGGTCATCACTGAAGGGGTACTCCAATTTCCTCACCCTGCGTCCCTCTTCAGCATGGAAGAAGCCAGAGCAATCTGCATCCTAATTCCCTATTGGCAATTTGGGTAACCCCTTCAGAGGATGGCATGATAAGAATAGGAGGTAGGAACTGGCTAGGCAGTTAGGGTAAAAGGACCCCAAAGAAAAGTAGCCAGTTTCTTGGCTAAAAGTCAAAATGTCCTTGGGACTGTTAGCAACATACTCCAAAGGCCAAAAATGTCAAAAGTATTTGGGAGCTTGTATCTAATCCTTAAAAGATTTTAGGGTTACCTCTTGGGGGGGGAATGTTAGGGTACCCAAAAGCCCCATAAAAATAAATAAATGAAGCCAAGGATATAAGCAGAGAATGTCAGGAGGCACCTCTCTCCATTTTCTGTGGCTGTCAGGAAGTCACAGGATCTATATTTGAGTGTGGACATTCCAGCGCAGTCATAAATGGAGGGTGCCCATACCTCTGTAAATAAATCTCCACTCTATGCTTTGTTTAAAAGAAAGAAAGAAAGAAAGAAAGAAAGAAAGAAAGAAAGAAAGAAAGAAAGAAAGAAAGAAAGAAAGAAAAAATGATGGGGAGATATGGGGGTGTTGGAAGGGAGAGAGTGAGCATGGATTTGATCAAAACACCTTATATGCGTGTATGAAATCCTCAATAAAGTTTTTGTAAAAGTTAAAAAAAAGAGGGTCACTTGTGAGAAACAACACTTGATGCTAACCTCTGTCCTACACACACACACACACACACACACACACACACACACACACACGCGAATGGTAAGCTGTGCTATAAGCACATACCTGTATTCCTAGCACTTAAGAGTCTGAGGCAGGAGAATCATGAGTTCAAGGCCAGTTTAGATGACATAGGGAAGCCCTGCTTTAGACACATTAACTTAATAATTTTCACCAAAAGGAGATAAGCAATTTATTGCAACAATAACTTTCATCAGAGAATTTTATGTAACTATATGGTTGTCCACAGCTGCTATTCAGCATGGGGCACAGCTGATTTGAACACACAAAACCACAACACAGAATGTTCCGATTCAATCTAAACTCAAATGTGGGATACTATATTTACAAACTGCACACATATCTAGATAAATTGCTGAAACCATCATCAAGTCATAGTAGAGGGGGAAGATGTTTATCACCAGATGGAAATCTGCTATAAAGATCAAATACAAAGAATGCGAACATTACCTGGTGATGCTGACTTGAAACTGTAAGATCTCAGATTTGGGGTTCAGGAGGGACACTAACATGGATTGTCCTTTTGAGTAAGAGATTTATTAGAAGAGGTGTAGCACCATAGACCGATATCAGTATAGTGGGGTTCTGAAGAATGTTTAGGTCCACAAGGCTAAGCTAAGTACCCTTTTAAAGCTTTTGGATAGAAGGGCAAAGTCCCAGGCCATGCAATTGATGAGTAGCCCCGTCCTACAAGTTTACAGTCAGGTCATCTGAGATTCCTGGGTAGCAAGGGAAGGGGAAAATACCTGGCCCTTTAATTAAAGTGTATCTCTCATATGAGATGTGCTACCTGTAACCACTGATTGTCTAGCATGTTTGGTAAACTTCCTTTGGGGAAATGAGGGCTATAGACTACCAGATGGTCCGCAGTACGGTGCCTGCCATTTCTTTTCTAGCAGCTATGAGGGGGAGAATGGCAAGGGGCTACCTCAGGCGAGCATGCCTCTGCCCCACACCTAACAGCAAAGTTTTGTGATTCTTGGATATTCTCTTTTACAGACAGTTGACCGGCCAAAGGACTGGTACAAGACAATGTTTAAACAAATTCACATGGTACACAAGCCAGGTACGTATGTTGCTCTGTTTTATCATCAAGACCTTATAGGTTGAAGGATTTATGCTCAACTTATAGATTTTCCCCACATAAAAGTGTCAAGACCCCGGTAAACTTGACGTCCCCTTTTTCTCAGTGTTTCTCTCGTTCTTTAAAAGCCTACCTCTAAAGCACAGATCTGTGCCTCTGCCTTGGCCCTCGGTCTCCACGAAGCCTCCTAGGAGGTGTCGTTGGACATTACAAGATATCCTAGTTTCATCCCTCTGTCCATCACTGTCACATCTACCCTGGGCTATTGCCCACATCTAGGCTCACTGCTCTGCCTGTCCATCCTTGTCTGATCCTCACCGGGACAGTGAATGGAGGGAGATCTTCCTGGGCCTACTCAGGGCAGTTGACAAGAGAATATCAGAACACCAACTAAAGGAAAAATCAGAACCAGAAGACACAGCTACTTGGGGAAGTGAGGACAAGAAAACAGTTTTGCATGTATGACCAGGGTAGCAAGGTATATGCCTTGCAGATAAGGAGGTCACACTGCAGAGGTCCAGAAAAATGCAGTGTTTGGAAATCCAAAGTGGTGCTGTGAGCTAGAATACATTGCCTTGCTATGTATCCCTGTCTGTCTCTGACTTTCTTCTCTCCTGTTGACAAGGCAATGGACTCTGTATTACTCTATTTATGTTTCATTTTCTAGATGATGACACAGACATGTATAATACTCCTTACACATACAACGCAGGTAGGATGGGATTCCTTGCTTGCACTGATGGCTCACACTGCACAATGCTGGGGAGAGCTCCCATCTTTTGTCTTTTCACACCCACCACATGTTGTCAGTCCCTGTGATTGGGAGGATGCTTAACTTCTCTTCTCAGAGCATGCCTGACTCAAGATCGATCCTTTCTCCTGGAAATGAGAACTGATCCTGTTCTGTCCCACTCATTCTTCCTGTCAGTTTCAGGAATGTTTAACCAGAATGTGAAGGGCAATGTGAAAGAACAGGCTGTGACCTAGATTACAAAATAAAGATCTTTTTATCAGCAGAGTGTTTATAATTGCATAATATCTTTCAGATATTCTCTCCAAAAAACAAGTCAAGTGCTTTACGACCTTGTCCAGGCCTTTGCTCCAAATGGAACCATTCATTGAAAGATTTTTAAAACACTCTCTTGGCTGGTCCACTTTTCTAACTCAGAGTTGCTAATGTTCATAATAGAAAAACTTCAGTTCTTGGCATTCCCACTTGGTTTAGCTGTGCTGGTTTCTTTTGAAATGGTCTTCAAGCTAACATGAAGGACCCCTAAAAATGTTCCTTCCATCACTTTTCCTAAATGTTGAATCATGGGATTTCACCCAGCCCAGCCATAGGCCCAGGATCGTACCCTCACTTAGGGACTTCTAGTCACCCTGACAGAAATCTCCCTGAGACTCTCCCCTCCTAACACCTGCTGACCAGCAACCAGACCCTTAAACGGTAAGGGATCTTGCTACTCACCTCCAAAGACAAATAAGGAAAAACTGGTCATAACAAACAGCAAGCTGCAGAGCAATGGCACTGGGCTCTGGGTCTCCAAATTATACCAGAAAGTCATTAAAATGCTCCCCTACAATTTTAATCCTGATCCTGGGGTAGTCAAACTCACCTTCTTGATTTACCTCAAAAGTTGAAGTCTGACTTGGAATTGACCCAGAGATACTTAAGAACAGATGGTGTCTGTGTCACTTGTCCTGGAAATTTACATGACGACAGGAGAAGCAGACAAGCACAGGTAGACTTAGTCCAAGATTGCGATTGTGAGAAAGTCATAATTTGCATATATTTTTGAAAATTATAGTTGGGGGTTTCATTAGTAATAAATTGAAAGTCAGCCATGTTACCCTGTAAAGCCCTGTAAGTTTCATCATCCAAGTCAGCCAGAAGTAACTATAACCCCTCCCTACTTTCTCCTCATGCACAGCTTTCTGTCCTGCATACTGTCCATGCTACTGTTTTCTAGCCACCAAAACTAATCCTTAAGGACAACTCTAGCCCTATGGGATCTTAATATATTTGCTATCTCATCATCCTTTAATTCTTAATATGTGCTCTCTGCTGGGTTTTTTAAGAACTGTCACCAACTATTTTCAATCACAGTTCTGCTTGTGTCTGCTTTCCCCAAATGTTTATCAGTTTATGGAGGGTTCCAGTTGCCCTGTCCCATGCATGTGCAGCATCTCATGTACACAGCATGTTCAATATTTGTTGGATTTGGATTGCAATTAAGATACAAATTATCATATGTATGATGTCAGTATTTCTAAGTATTAGAAGATATTTTAATCTTTCTCTGAAACCTTATCTAAGGTGATAGTTTATGGGATTGCAGAGAAAAGTTGCTGAGTACTTGTAAGTTTATTTTTACTAAATAGTTTGAATTATCATTAATTCTACAATAATTGATGATTTCCTGTAATCGGTGCTTATGTACAGAACAAATTAATAACTGATAATTGCTACTAGTAAATTAACAATGATGAATTAATAAACAATGCATGCATGCATTATGAATATACTTATTGATGATGCTTGCAAAATCATTGAATATTTTGCAGAGCACAACAACTTAAGGTACTTTTTAAAAGTTATTTGTTTTTCTTTTTTTTTCCTGGTAGGCCTGTACAACTCACCCTACAGTGCTCAGTCACACCCTGCTGCAAAGACCCAGACCTACAGACCTCTTTCCAAAAGCCACTCAGACAATGGCAGCGATGCTTTTAAGGAAGCATCTTCCCCAGTGCCTCCCCCACATATCCCACCACGACCAAGAGATCGATCTTCAACAGAAAAGTAAGACTCCTTCCCTCAAAGTGGCCTCTCCTAGGATAAAAACCAAGCCACGATGGCATTCAGTAGAAACATCAGTTTTTGCCTTATGGAGCAAATATATGCATAGACTTATTGGTCCATATTGAGGCCCTCTACTGAGATTGTGCTGAACGCTTTCAGGGAAGTTCTGGGTCATACTGTCGTCATGCCTAAGTTAAACTGGAAGTAACATGGTACAACCTCTATTTTTTGTTCAATAAGAGTATATAAGAATGAATATAAGAAATAAACAGGCTGGGGATGTAGCTGGGTAGTAGATGACTTGGCTGAATACTACAAATAACAACAAAAAAACACATATAATATATTTTGTGGCCTGGGTTATGAAGCTCAGTGATAATGGTTTGCTCTGCACATACCAGACTCTGGGTCCAATTCCCAGAATTGGTGGAAGGATGAGGCATGTAATCTCAATCAGTCCTCATAAAGCTGAGGAAGGAATTCAAGGCAGAAAACCAAAATGGGACGATGTGAGGGCTCTGCCGAGTGTTACTCATTAACTTACTAGAAATTGAGGCTCGGCCTGTACTTGATCTGTGGGAGCACTTCTATTTCCAACATTCCAGGGAGTCAAAATTTCACTCCATTCCTTGGAATCAGAATTTCCACACTCAAACGTCAAATAGTCTTCAAATAATCCTTTATCCAAAGAAAGTTTTTTTGCTTTCATTCCAGCTGCCCGGAAAAGCCTGCCATTCTAAGTCCTTTGGAAATGTACTTGCTAATTGTCCTTTATTGATAGATTCTCAGTGGTATCAGTTCAAGGAAAAGAGAAGATTCCAATGCAAGAGATGCTGGACCCTGGTCCAGGCTAACACCAAGCGGCCTCCCATGCCACTCTGTCCATCCCCGGGCACACCAGCTCCAGGGATACACTGTAATTCTCACATATACACTCTGATTCCATTTGTAAGAAAGAAGATCAAACATGGTTTGTGCATTATTCCTTGTCACTTTGGATCAAGGAAGTCAGATCATATGATGGTTAAACTTAAAAAAATTCACAGCATATTCCCCCTTATTTTAAAGTCAGAGAGAGAGAGAAAGAGAGAGAGAGCTGCCTTTACAGACCCATGGCTTAGCAACAGGTCTGCATGTTCATAGACATCTGCATGTCTACAAACCTTTGTGAGTTTTTAAACCAGCAATAGGTAATCATACACACAAAACTAGAAGAAAATACATTAAATATAAGAGATAGTTTTCTTTAATTCCTTCATATAAATTTAAACATGTATGATTTTTTTCATAAATTAACTTTTGGAGAGAGATTTTTTTAAATCTCTAAGTATAGGAGAGATTGTTTAGCCAATGACCTGAATTCCATCCTTAGAACCCACAATAGAAAGAAAAAAAAATGAATAAATAAATAAATAAATAAATAAATAAATAAATAAATAAATAAATAAATAAATAAATACACACACAAATAAATAAATAAATAAATAAATAAATAAATAAATAAATAAATAATAAACAAATAATAAGTAATAGATTCCTACTAAAATTAACCTTGAACTTGACACTGAGTGGTATTTCATAAGTACTTTAAGCATACAGATTATTTCAATGTGTGATTTGCTGTTTGTTTCTAGGCATGACTGGGATCCTCCAGACAGAAAAGTGGACACCAGAAAATTTCGATCTGAGCCAAGGAGTATTTTTGAATATGAACCTGGGAAGTCATCAATTCTCCAGCATGAAAGACCAGTAAGCACTTGTCATTAATCAAAAAGCCAGCTTTTCAGGTCTCTAGGGTCCCCAAGTAAACCTAAATTTCATACCATCTTATTTAATTGATATTATTGAGAAATCATGTATATTTTCAATCATAATTTGAGTATCTCATCTCTGAACTGAACCTGAATATGCAGGACTCATCAGCAAACAGCTGGCTGTGCCTAATCCTGGCACCCGTAAATGCAGTACTCCATTGGTAGTCTAGATTACCAGCATGAAAAAATCATTTATTAATCCTCTTAATATATACACAGACTCAGGCAGATGCATCCCTTGACTTCTGTGTGGTTTCTTAACATTTCTTTCACTTAAGAGGAAGTGTTCTCAAATATATTTTTTAACAGTTTCTTAATTTATTTTTATTAAATCCCTCTTGTTACCAAGCCTCAAGCTTCCTGATTGCTTGCCATTTTAATGGATCAAAATATTTCACTTAGTAGTCTTTTCTCTTTATTTTAATTATATGCAAACCAAAATATATATCATCTTGAGAAAAGCCACGTGGCCCTCTGAAGCTGATTAATGGGTTATTCCTTGGCCCTCTTCCCTTTAGACCCCTCACTCCTCCTTGCTTCCTTTGTTTCTCCTTAGAGATCAGTCGGTGTCCTCAAGTTCTTTTTAAAACTCTGTAATTCCTCTGAGTCTTCAAACTTGCTTCCAGATAAACACTGAAGGTGGATGACAATTTACTTTTGTTCTTGTTTTGAAAGAATTTTAGGATCAGTGAACAGGAAAAAGAGATTTTCTTTGGTAACTCCTCAAGGGTCTTGGGAACAGCATACTCTTACACAGACAGCAAGCCAACCCTGAAATTTAATCAGAAACCCAGGCCTCACAATGCCCTACATCAATATCCTTGATTTAGCTTTTGAAACCCTATATTTACAGTTGTGTTCTTGAGAAGTGTGTTCAAAAATCTTATAATTACACAATTCAACTGTCTTTCTTCAAATAATTCATATTTCTTAGTGTAACAAGATTTCAAAAAAGAAACTGAAGGGGAAAAAGGAGCATTACTGATTTCCAGCCTTCGATGAAGGCTTATAATCCACTTAATAAGTTATCTGATTTAATAGCAAGCAAGGTTGAAATTTTCAGAATCAAAACCGAGTGGAACACAATGTTACCACTAAAGAAACAAGTGAAAATCATGACTCTCACATTCAATTATAGATAGAAAGTCTTCATTGTCATTCTGATAATTTATGAGACTCTTGGAATGCAGGAATAAGAAACCTCTTAAATGTCTAAAAGGGAAGCACATCTACAGAACCTTCCCTGTGGCTCTCTAGGGTTCATCTTTGGGTCCCATCACAGTGGCTGAAATTCCTACACTACTCAAACCCTTGGATGAAAGCTTTGAGGGTTCCTTGTACTAAAATAGCAATAATAATGATAGTAATAACAGTGGTTGTAAATACTTACTGAGCATGTACTATATGGCAGGCTCTCTAATTAGTATTGTTTGTCTGATCTTATGTAACATTCCCAACAACCCTATGAAATAGGTGTATAGTATTCCTGCTTTGCAGATCCAGCGATCAAAGCCACATTAACTGACAGCCACACAGCCTCATAGCTGGTGGGTGCTGGAGCTAGGCTGGGCACATACATGCCTGGAGCATTTGATCACTACTGTACTGACTTAGCAGAGCAGGAAGCCTTTAGCAAATAGTCACCATCACCACAATTCATTTGATTATTTTACAGTACAGTTTATTTAGTAGCTAATTTATAATAAATTGGTGTTATTTGATTTACTTACCAGAAACCTGGGCCCAGAGTGATTACAAAGCAAGGATGGTATTCTTAACTGGCCCTAAGAAGATAGAAAGATCAGGAGCCATGGGTGTTGTCAGAGATTAGGATGAGTCTTTTCAACTACTGGAAAAGATGAGTGGAAGGAACCTAGCAACTTGGAAGAAAATTAGAATGGACAACTTATATTTCTCTCCCTCCTAAACCATTCTTCTGGGATCCAATGTTGTGCCATATGATTTAAGGGAGTCAAAGACATCATTTTGGTCAATTTTTATTACTACAATTATTATTTTAGGGTGAGTCCATTATCTTTTTATAAAAAAAACCAATCCTGAATTCACCCCACTGTAAATTAGAAAAAAACAAAGAGCTAAGTGGACAGGGGTGTTTGGGAGGGTAGCTACATATTAATGTAGTTTCCAGAAGGTCTGAATATCATGAATATCAAGCTGTAAAAGAAACAGCAGCCTTGCTAAATGAGAGTGATGAAACAGTCAGTGGAAGCCCTTGGGGGTTTCAAGGTCTTGTGAACTGGCTCTTCAGCCCTACTCCAAGACAATTTGAGAGCTTTCCTTTGCTCTTTTCACTTTTTTTATGTGTATGAGTATCTTGCATGCATGTATGTAATTGCACCCACGTCCTGCAATGCCCACGGAGGTCAAAAGAGGGCATCAGATTCCCTGCAACTGGAGTTATGAATGGTTGCTAGCCATGTGGGTGCTGGGAATCAAACCCCAGCCCTCTGCAAGAGCAGCCAGTGCTCTTAACTGCTGAGCCACCTCTCCAGCCCTACTTTTAATTTTTTAAAATTACATACAACAGCTATGCAACTCTGTGTTTTCTTCATCTGTCCTGTTTTCTTAACTGATCTCTTGGATTCCCCTCTCTCCCAGTGAACTTAAATTCCTACCCACGGGGAAAAATGTCACAGCCACAGTCTTCCTTCCAATCCTGGCTCTCCATTGCCCTTAAAGCAAATTTTAACTCCCATGATATAATTTACAAAAAAACCTCTCTGGCCCTGCCAGCTATACTGTGTTGGACCTTTACGCAGTCTGTTCTTGCTAGGAAAGTGCTTGCTCCTCACCACTTCCCTCAGTCTCAGCATAGCCATGTACACACACACACACACACACACACACACACACACACACACTTTCCCCTAGGGTATTGTCTATCTTTAGCAGTGGGTTTCAAACTTTCCGTGCTGGGTGTCCATGGCCCACTGCAGGCTCTGCTTTGACTTCCTTAGCACACTGAACTGCAGTGGCCCATTCACTTGCCTGGGTTCTTCAGTAGACTCCAAGCTCCTTGAAAGCAGGTACTATGTCTAACACAGCACTGTATCCTCCAAACCCAGCACAGTGCCTGTCCTGCAGTATGAGTACACTAAAGTGCACTAAGTGAGTGACTTAGTCACCCTGAGTGACTAAGTGAACGTGAGTGAATACGACTTAGATATTACCTTTGTAGTCAACGGGTAAAATTAGTGAGAGACTGAGTCTTTGTTCTGTTGCTTATCTATAAAGTCTCTGCATGTCTAGTATCCATCAGACATGCAAATGGGATTCAAGGCTCTGCTAATAATAGCTCCAGCTCAGCTTCCGTGATTCCCTGAGGTATAAAGGAAGCAGGGGTGATAGCAGTTTTTTGAACAGAAATCTTCAGGCTCTTGCAAAAAAAAAAAAAAGGAGAGTACTTCAATCTTAGGAATCAGTGACATGCATTTATGATCTTTAACAAGAAAGCAAAAGTAAATGCATTTCTTTCATGCTCATAAATATTCATTTGATTATAAATTTAAATGTTGACTAAATGAGCCTAATGCTTGATCTAGAAAAGGCGTTATTATCATCACGGAGTTATCTTGAACTAACTTGATCCACAGATCCGAGCCACATTTCCAGAGATTCTGTAAGGCAAGCATTATCAACTCTACTGGGATAATATTAATAAAAGTTTACAGCTCACCTAAATTAGATAGTCTTGGAGATAAGGCATGCTAATTGTTTTTATTTTAAGGAAGTATTTGTTCAGATCCTCTCTAAACTTAATAAAATAAAAATAGCACAAACATGTTACCTCTCCTACAATAACTAAGCTTATACATAATACTAAGGAAGCACTGTGCAGAGTTCAAATGCACCTTAAACCACCAGTAAATATAAGCTTCTTTTCAACAAAATTACTAATCAGAGTTAAAGCCATAAAAATTTAGGAAGTTAAAGCAGACTATTTGACCCATGAATAAATATCTGATTATGTGATAGCATTTAATATGAAAGCCTATAAACAGAAAACAGACCAGCCGGTGCTTTGAAACATAAAAGCTAATGAATAAAATTTTATGAGAAAAAATACATAGGCACTTCACTGTGTTTGGAACACCATATAGAAAGTATATGCCCAGTGAGAAGGCTTCCGTAACCACAAAGGCAGCTAAACTTTTCAATTGGGAAATCTTAGAAACTTTAAAACTTAATCCTGAGTAGTTTTTAAATAACAATCACAAATAAATTATGGTTTTAGCTTATCTTAAGCACTTCCTGTCCTACTGGTGACATGGTTCATGTTAGCAGAAGCTTGCTAGGTTTGTAAAATTGAAAAGAAATAAAACAAGTTGAAAAAGATGTGCATCATATTTCTACTTTCTTGCCATAATGAGTAATTATATTAAAATGTAATTAGTGTCCTAATGGGATCCTAGGTGTTATCATTCACAGGGAATAGAGAGAAATTTCTCTGACATGAAGGAAATATTGGAGTAGTGAGATTATTAGTGTGCTTATGTTTCTGTTACCTGACTATTGTGAGGTTTCTGTGTCCCTTAGCTCTGGCTAGCTACCCAACATATTTAATTATTGCATAACTAAAGAAATTGAGTAGATCAACCACAGCAAAGAGAAAATTCTAGTTCTTCCATTTACTTTTTTTGGTTTCTATTTGTTTAAGATTTTTCTTCTGAGACAAGCTCTTTCTATGTAGTCCAGGCTGGCTCAAACTAACCATCCTCTTACTTCTGCCTTAAAAGTGTGTGCCACCACACCTGCCCATAACATAGAGGCTCTGCTCAAATGTGTGTCATTCATTACAGTCCAGAATTACTGACAATTCCTGTTGTTTGGTGTGCTTAGATTCTAGATAGTTGCTCATTGTGAATGTAGATTGAATTTTTAAAGACAAAATTATAATAAATTATTTTAAGATGT